GGGCAGGCAGCGGGGCAGGCAGCGGGGCAGGCAGCGGGGCAGGCAGCGGGGCAGGCAGCGGGGCAGGCAGCGGGGCAGGCAGCGGGGCAGGCAGCGGGGCAGGCAGCGGGGCAGGCAGCGGGGCAGGCAGCGGGGCAGGCAGCGGGGCAGGCAGCGGGGCAGGCAGCGGGGCAGGCAGCGGGGCAGGCAGCGGGGCAGGCAGCGGGGCAGGCAGCGGGGCAGGCAGCGGGGCAGGCAGCGGGGCAGGCAGCGGGGCAGGCAGCGGGGCAGGCAGCGGGGCAGGCAGCGGGGCAGGCAGCGGGGCAGGCAGCGGGGCAGGCAGCGGGGCAGGCAGCGGGGCAGGCAGCGGGGCAGGCAGCGGGGCAGGCAGCGGGGCAGGCAGCGGGGCAGGCAGCGGGGCAGGCAGCGGGGCAGGCAGCGGGGCAGGCAGCGGGGCAGGCAGCGGGGCAGGCAGCGGGGCAGGCAGCGGGGCAGGCAGCGGGGCAGGCAGCGGGGCAGGCAGCGGGGCAGGCAGCGGGGCAGGCAGCGGGGCAGGCAGCGGGGCAGGCAGCGGGGCAGGCAGCGGGGCAGGCAGCGGGGCAGGCAGCGGGGCAGGCAGCGGGGCAGGCAGCGGGGCAGGCAGCGGGGCAGGCAGCGGGGCAGGCAGCGGGGCAGGCAGCGGGGCAGGCAGCGGGGCAGGCAGCGGGGCAGGCAGCGGGGCAGGCAGCGGGGCAGGCAGCGGGGCAGGCAGCGGGGCAGGCAGCGGGGCAGGCAGCGGGGCAGGCAGCGGGGCAGGCAGCGGGGCAGGCAGCGGGGCAGGCAGCGGGGCAGGCAGCGGGGCAGGCAGCGGGGCAGGCAGCGGGGCAGGCAGCGGGGCAGGCAGCGGGGCAGGCAGCGGGGCAGGCAGCGGGGCAGGCAGCGGGGCAGGCAGCGGGGCAGGCAGCGGGGCAGGCAGCGGGGCAGGCAGCGGGGCAGGCAGCGGGGCAGGCAGCGGGGCAGGCAGCGGGGCAGGCAGCGGGGCAGGCAGCGGGGCAGGCAGCGGGGCAGGCAGCGGGGCAGGCAGCGGGGCAGGCAGCGGGGCAGGCAGCGGGGCAGGCAGCGGGGCAGGCAGCGGGGCAGGCAGCGGGGCAGGCAGCGGGGCAGGCAGCGGGGCAGGCAGCGGGGCAGGCAGCGGGGCAGGCAGCGGGGCAGGCAGCGGGGCAGGCAGCGGGGCAGGCAGCGGGGCAGGCAGCGGGGCAGGCAGCGGGGCAGGCAGCGGGGCAGGCAGCGGGGCAGGCAGCGGGGCAGGCAGCGGGGCAGGCAGCGGGGCAGGCAGCGGGGCAGGCAGCGGGGCAGGCAGCGGGGCAGGCAGCGGGGCAGGCAGCGGGGCAGGCAGCGGGGCAGGCAGCGGGGCAGGCAGCGGGGCAGGCAGAGGGCAGGCAGAGGGGCACGCAGTGGGGCAGGCAACGGAGGGGGCAAGCAGCAGGCAGGCAGAGGGGCAGGCAGCGGGCAGGCAGCAGACAGGCAGTGGGGCAGGCAAGGGGGCAGGCAGAGAGGCAGGTGTCCCTGTGCAGGAGTCCCTGGGTGCCAGTCCCGGGGTGCCAGCCTTCTCGGGAGCCAAAGCATGTGCTTCATAACCAGCACCAGGCACCTTCCCACAGCCCCATCCCCATCCCACCGCCGCGGGGAAGGCTCCTCCAGCCTATCTCTTGGCATATCTCCGGTGCGAGACGGCCGCAGGCTCCCAGTAATCCGGGTTAATAAACAGGGAGCGGTGCTGGCGGTGGGATGTTCCGCCCGGGGTCAGCGCTGCCGGCGCTGCCGGTTCCCGGGAGCCGGCGTCGGGCAGGCAGAGCCCCGGACCGGAGGAGCTCCCGGTGCCGGGGCGGGAGGGAGAGAAGGGGGAAGTGTCTGGAGCCGGTGCCGACAGAGACATTGCGCAGGGCAGTGTGAGAGGGAAGCCCTTAAGATAGAGAAAATATCAAGGGCGCTCCATTGTGGAGCAGATGGGACTGATAGCCGAGCTGCAATCAGCTCCCCCGCGGCACACCCAGGGCTCCGGGGCCTCCGCCGGCACCGGGAAGGACACGCTCCCTCCGAGGCACGGCCTTCCTCTGCGGGGCAGGGAAGAGGAGAGGGACAAGAGAAGGGAGGGAGCCAGGGAGCCCCGGCTTTGTCCATGGGGCGCTCTGCAGGGATCCCCACGGAGCCGTGAGGCTCTGCCGCTGGGACCAGGCGGGGCGAAGGGGAGAGAGGGGATGGCCGAGCTCCCGTCGAGCCCTCCCGTTGCACGACGGCACTTAGCGTCCCTGGGGTTTGTCTGCGGACCTGGGGCTGCTGCAGCCCCGGGCAGGCTGTCATCCCCGCCTGCACCCCGGCCTTGGCTGCCCCCGTTCCCCGAAGCAATCCCAGTTCCCCACCCGTGCCGAGACCCTGTGGCACCAGGGAGTTCCCAGGTGGGGAGACCCTGGGGCTGATGCTACCCCGACATTTGGAGACCTGGGCCACACTGAGCATTCCCGAGCTGTGCGGGGGCTGCGAGACCCCTCAGCAGTGTCCCTCACCCGGCCCCAGCCCTCTCCTCCCCCGGCCCGAAGGAACGGGTGCGGGGGGGCCGCAGCCCCCCTCCCATCGCACGTTCCCCCCGGGTGCTCCCCTCCCCC